CTTTGAATGTAATTGTTCTTTACAGTACTGGTTGTAGTACACCATTGCATGTCATATACACTTCCTTCCAATATTACGCAAATGATTAGCATGTTATAAAAATTCATGATGTTTGCTTGCAAATATGTTATCCAAATAGGAATGGATAATCCAGAAACTATTGATAAAGCTGTCTGGAATAAAGAAATGTTGCATGTCTTTTGTGACCTTTGCATCAAAGCCATTGACATGGGAATGAGACCGAATACTCATTTCGACAAGGCCGATTGGAAATATTTGCAAACATCTTTCAAAGAAATAACTGATCACGCATTCACAAAGACACAATTGAAGAACAAATGGGATGGCTGCAAAAAGGATTGGAGGATATGGACGAAACTCATTTCAGAAACTGGTGTGGGCTGGAGTGCAGAATTAGGGACAATTTCTACAAGTGATGTGTGGTGGAAAACAAATATTCAGGTTATTTTGTTGCTCCTTAATTTTTAATTATGTTAAATCTCAGTTTAGTAATTACCAAAATATTTAGGCAAGCTGCATTAAATAATTCTAAATGTTCTGTGTAGGAAATAAGAGGTGCAAAAAAATTTAGGCAAGCTGGTATCGAACTATCTTTACGGTTGAAGTTCGACAGAATGTTCACCAATATTATTGCTACTGGACAGTATGCATGGGCACCATCGGCTGGAATTCATCGTGATGATAATGTTGGTGTTGCTGAGGATCCAAATGTCAATGATGAACAACCTGATTTGGAAGAAGGAAGCGGTGATTCAGAAGAGGATAGAATTCTAAATTTCACCGATGATGTGTGCAACATGGTTAGATGGGTTAATATGTCAAGAGTAGCAACACATGCAACAGTGAAAATAGAAAAGAAAGACAACGTCTTGACGTTCAATCAGGGAAAAAGAAAAGAAGTTCTGGAATTGGGATGCAGCTACTATCACGGTTTGATAATATGGTTGATAGTATGTCAAAAAATAGTGATTCCACATCTATATGTAGAGATAAGAAAATGGTGTAGTATTCTTGAGGTTATGACTGAGCTGCACTCAATAGAAGGAGTTCATATTGGTGATGATTTTCATGCGTATGCTACTGAGTTCTTGGGTATGAGAAGGAATAGAGAAATGTGGTTTAGTATGGGTAGTCTTGAAAACAAGATGAAATGGTTGCAGAAAATGTTTACACGGCGTGAGGTACCATAGACGGGGAGGTATTTATTGATCCCGAATGCATGCTTTTATAAATTTATTGATAATATTATTATCTAAATTGTTATCTAACATATTTTAAAATGTCTTGATAATTATGTATTTTTTTAGAGATCTGAAGATGATAATCGGCCAGAATTGTTCGGGACCTTATTTCTAATTTTAACAATTCTCATCTGACATGAAGAGGTTGTGTGCAAGTTTTATTTTTCGGTTATGGGCATTAATATTTGTTATTTTCATGCAAACAAATTATATATTAAAATATCAAAAAGTTGTAGTGTTATTCGATACGCGCTACGTATTATGAATTGCAATCCTGAAAGTTTCTATGTATTTGTAATGTAATATGATGTGGACAATGCTTTTATAGTTTACAAAATATGCATGCTTAAATGCAACCGGTAGAAAATGCAAACAAATGGTTGTTAAATTATCGACATTAAAATTGCTTAATTATAAATTATACTGCTTGGAAAAGCCAATTATACATCCATTTTAAAAGATAAATCAACCTTTTCTTGGTTTTAGTTTGGGTTAGAAATATAAATTGTAGTCTAGAAGCTTGGTAACCTATTAATTTGTATTTCTAAATACACGTGATGTGTATTAACGGTAAGGGGAAAAAATATACAAAATGTAAAATGTATTAAAAATTTTGAAATAAAAAAATACAAGGATTCAAAATACAATTCACATGCAAAAACAAGCTAAGTGGTACACTACGATAAACTGCTCCTGACCTTTCACTTTGGTTACAGAAGAAAAAAAAGTAGATATACAAACAAATACAAGATTCAAAATATAATTCACATGCAAAAACAAGCTATGGTACACTGCGATAAACTGCTCCTCACTTTGCACTTCAGTTACAGAAAAGAAAAGGTAATTAACACGGGCTGTTGAATATCGAGCTTGTGTGACAATGCTGGAACAAAATAATTTGGGAAAAGAAGAAGCAACCTCATAGAAATGCAGATATAGAAATGCTTAATTAAAAGAAGAGAAAACAGAGGGCAACCAGCGAATATAGAAATGCAGGGGAACAAAATCAGCGGATAGAAAAGCCAACCACGGGATAAACAGAGGGCAACCACCACCAACATTCCTCGTCGCCACCAGAGTAATTGTTTGCCCTCATCATCGCCAACAACAGCACCACTAACAGCAGGGAGAAGTGAGTGCAGCAAGGAAAAACCGCAGCAAAGGTAGTGAGAAAGAAGCAGAGCAGATTCAGAAAAAAAAACAGGGCCACCATAACCAACCTGCCTCGCCGTTGCTATGCAATCGTCTGCCCTCATCGTCTTCACCATCACAACCACCAACATCGAGGATAAAAGCGACTACTGCATGGGAAAAACATTGCAGATGGAGTGAGAAGGAAGCAGAGCAGCTTTAGCTGAAAAACATAGGGCCACCGCGGGATAAAAACCACACCACCACTGCAAACCTTCATCATCGTCTCCACCATAGCAACCATTTGGCGTCATTGGTGTCAACTGCAGCAGCACCATCATTGGGAGAGAAGCAAACAAACTATACTGGAAAGTGAGAAGAGCAGGAACAGAGGAACACCATCACTGAAGTCCACCATCGTTCCCCGCCGTTCCCACAACCGAACACACCTTGCGCTACCAAGGGTAACCTCCTTTGTCCTTCGCCTTCTCCTTCATTCGTCTGCTGCTCACCATTGTCAGTCTCCACTGTTCACGTTAAATATGAACAGTGGACAATGAATATATAACTTTCATACAACAATTTGTTTCAATATTTTTGTTTAGTGTGAAGTAGTATAATATAATAGTTATTTGATATAAAATTAATCATGCAGGTATCACATTAGACATTGTGTTTTATTTGAGAAAAAAAAATTATTTAACATGATTCAAATGTTTATTTATCTAGGATTATACATATGGAAGAAACACGTTTAAATGCAATATTCAATGAAGCTCTTGATGATGATTATGATAACTTAATGGATCGTGTTGTTGATCACGTTAATTATTGTGGTGATGATAACAACGGTGGCTCGGGAGGGATGGTGATGATGGCGCAAATGATGACGACGACACCGACAATAATGACACTGACGGCAACAACGTTGACGACAATGATGATAGTGATGATGATGAAGAATTGTTTTGGAGGCGAGAATTTGATAGGAAAAAGTTAGTTGTGTGCACAGCTGGGGCACTAAACATGTATTATGTTAATCATATACATAAAGAACCATGCATGGTTTCATACAATACAGGCATGCGTTGGTTAACTGAAGTTTTATGAGGACATTGGCAACGATGTGTCAACATGTTTAGAATGGACACATCAACTTTGATGAGCCTGTGCAGTGATTTAGAAACAACGTATGGGTTGAAGCCTTCGAGAAGGATGAGTGTGATTGAAAAAGTTGCAATATTTCTATATACAATAGCACTAGGAGCTTCAAATAGGGAGGTGCAACGAGAAATTGCAATAAATCCTAAATATACGTCGCATTTCAAGGTATGAAAAATATTTGTGTTTTTATTGTTAGTATTCAATTCAAAAATTGATTTATACATGTTAGTAAGTAACAATATCATATTGTCAATGGTTTTTTTTTTTTTTTATAGACAGAATTGTATTGGTGCAATTGATGGAACACATGTGCGGGCTTGTATATCAACCGAAAATCAAATTCCATTTATCGAAAGAAAATGTGTTTCGACTCAAAACATAATGACGACTTGTAATTTTGACATGCGATTCATGTTTATGTGGGCAGGATGGGAAGGTAGTGCCCACGATACACGTATTTTTTATGAGGCTATTGAGAATATAAATATAAAATTCCCTATGCCACCAGAAGGTAGGTATACAACATAACTTGTTATGTTGTTAGGTATAAAATTTGTTTTTTATTTACTAATTACATGACAAATTTTGATGTTGTTTTTAATTACAGGTAAATACTATTTGATTGATGTTGGATATCTAAATGAGTATGGTTATTTAGGTCTGTATAAAGGTGAGAGATATCACTTACAAGATTTTAGGCGTCGTGGAAAACCTAGAAATCGGCAAGAAGTTTTTAATCGTGCACATTCATCGCTACGTAATGTCATAGAACGATCTTTTGGAGTATGGAAACAAAGGTGGAGGATTTTACAAAACATATATGCTTATCCATACAAAATGCAAGTTGAATTTGTAGTTGCATCAATGACACTATATAATTACATTAGAAAAAGATTGCATGATGATGCTGCGGAATTTGATCGCAATCCCAGTTATATACCTGATGATATTTTACCAAATGTTGTGGCACGCTCTGAAAGCATTGGAAACAGTAGGCAAAGTAGGATGAATTTCGTACGTGATGGGATTGCAGATAGTTTGATGGAACAATAAAGCAGAATTTATATAACGTCTTGTTTGATTAATGATGTAATAGCAGTACTTAATGCTTGTATGGGATTATAGAGCTTTTCATTAACGAAGCAGTAATATAATATTTTTTTTCACGTTGTAAAAAATTATTGTTGCGACCGACACACGAAAACTATCTGGGCACGTAGAAAAATGAAATTAAAAAATTTTATTCTGAAAAAACATTTTAATATTTTTTGGAAACACAGTTTGCACCGCATAAACGGTTACCAAACACTTTAAACTGCTTTTTATTCAACCTCAATTTCAACCACAGTTTTAACCAAACACATATTTTTCCAAACCAACCTCAATTAAAAGTACTTTTTTTAAAATAGTTTTTTTAAAACCACAACCACAATAACAATCTCAATACCAAACACACCTAAATTGTTCAAATAACAATTTCATTATTTTTTATACCACAAAAGTTAATTAATTATTTCCAATGAACTACAAGAATTATTAATTATTTAATTTGATGGTACAAATCAATCGCTTAAAATTGTCTTTTAATGACAAGATAGTAGAACAGCAACAGCAACGAAGAAAAAAAAGTGCAATTAGTTAATGGTATTATGGAATAAACTAAGGAATATATATATTAATTTAAATGTTTGGATTAGCTTATGTTTACGCTTATTTAGATTAATTTTATGAGTATTAAATTTAATAATTATATAAATTTTTAATAATTTTAAAATTTATAAAATTTAAATTAATAATTTCTGAAAAATAAAACTTAAATTTCATCAATTAAACTACACTAATCAGATTAGGTTAAAACTATCTTTTGTTAGGAGGACAAACAAGGTTTGGAGTATTGGATTCGGGGCTTTTTACAACAAATAACTGAGTTCAGAAGTTAAGAAGAAACATTGCACTTGGAGCTCACAAAACACCTATAAAATAAGTCATGTATGGAGCTTTGAGGACCGCATGATGCTTGGGTTAGTTAAGCTGTATGAGAAATATATAGTTCTAAAGATTGTTGTGTGTTGTACGAAGAAAAATACATTAGAGAAGATGATGAGTGTAGGTGATGTGAGAATATGAAATATGTGTGCGCGTCCGTGGATCATCATCAGGTCCTTAAAACCCTAAAAAAACTTGTTTGCAGGTGTTCATGAGCTCCTAATACAGTGTTCCTTCTTCAACTTCTCAATTGAGTTATCCTCCATGCTCAAATCCAATGGTGCTTGCTCCAAACCCTGTCCAGGTCCTATCACTGATCTACTTGTTCTTTCCCGCCAAATAACAGAGCAATAACGTGATTAGGGTTGAGGAGAGGTGCCAAAATGAGAGATCAAACAAGAATGAGCTTTATGTTATGAAAATATTTCTATAGGTATTTTAATAGATATTAAGTTAGTCGAAATATTTGGTGTCACAAAAGTGATTTGTATTAATCCATGTGGAAGAGTTTGTATTTAGAATAATACTTACATAATTAATTTAATTCTTAATAATTTATTATTAACTTTGATATATTATCAACTCAGAAAATACTAGGTTATCACATGTAGCAATATCGAAATCAATATAAGTCCTTAAAATCTCCAAAAAAAAAAACTAGAAAAAATGAATTTCTAGAACTTATACAAAAAAAGGGTTGAGATTTATTTTCTCAAACTATATAATTGAATTTCTTTTAACAACGCAATGAAATAAAGAAGAAAAACAAAGAAAAATGAAGAAGAGAGTTTGCCCTTCATAACGGATCTATTATTGAATTGGAAGAATTCCACTCTCATGATTTCAGAAAATAAATTTGATAAATTAATATATATTGATTTAAATTATTTTAATATATTATCATCTTAATATCTTAAAAAAAAATCATTTTAAATTTTTATAAGTCAAACTATGTTATTCATTTAAATTGTATTAAGTCAATTGCCACATAATTTAATTTTTTACAATTTAATTGTTTTTTACTAAAAAACATTAGTAATGCTTGA